CAATATTGGGTGGCATCTGTCTGAGGCATTCTGGCAGGGTCTGCAGAGACAGGAATTCATGTGTAAATGCTTTATTCTGTGTGTGCTGGAGTGAGTGACCCCCAAACATGTTACTAAGGGAAAGTAACCTTTAAGGGAGAGTTAGAAATTACTTCAGGCCTTTCTGAGAGAGAGGTATTAGCAGGAGTCACAACTGAATTAATGCAGCTACATGGCTTGTGGCATCTTTGAGGATGGGCAGAACAAATTTGTGTTTTCCTGGAAAAGGCTAGTGATACATTTAATTTCATGCTGCTTTTGGCATGCTAAGAACCACATTGTTTCCTCCTCTTTCCCTGGGGAAAAGGTTAAGCGTGGATTTGGTTTTCTTTGGTGTAGAGACTGCTTTTGCTATTGATTGACCCAGCTGAACTCGGAGCAAGGGCCAAAGCTGTGGTATTTCCAGGCAGCTGTGAACATTTTCAGATACAAGGAGCGTAAAAGCAATGGAATAAAAAGCAGTGACATTTTCAATATGAGACCAAAAAAGCCCAACTCATATTTTATTTATTTATCCAAAATAGTTTGAATTATTCATTAAAGTTGATACAAGTGTGTGAAAATACAAGGTGTTTCAAGAAGCAGCATTATTAGGGGGAAGTTAATCATTTGGTGGTATTAATTTTGTAATAGATGTGTGAATTTTTTCAGAGAGGATTTTTTTCCCCATTAAACTCTTCAAGGTGGGCAATTTTTGCACACAGTCTTGGCCTGAATACCAAAGAGGTGGGGCGGTGCAATTTCCATGTATTTTCCTTTTCTTTCTTTTCTCCTCCTTTAATTTTTCCAGGCAGTCATTATCCCTGACCAAGGCATAGCCTGCCAAATCTCACGCTTATTTTCTCAATTCTTGTTTCATTAATGGTCCAGGAGTGAGGGATGCTTTGGTGTCCCTTCTCTGAAATGAAGGATGTTTATGGTGTGACTTTCCCCATCCGTGGTTTCTGCAGAGCACACCCTGCGACTTGCCTCGCCCATCGAGCACAGGCACTCAAACAGGTGCTCTAAATACAGGGATTCTATTTTCAAATGCAGTCTTTTAAAAAGGTAATTAAACCTAATTCTCCAAATGTTGTGTAAGATCTTAAAGGATCAAGACATTCACTGTTCTGTAGGTGGTGGATATAAAATGGGTGGAAACAGTAATGCTGTCATCAGAAACCTGCTCTGTGAACACACCTCGACCCATCCTGAGAGGATCTTTCTGTTCGGTGGCCTCTATGACTGTGCCTTAAATGTTGCTCTGAAACACGCTGAGTTGCACTCTGTGCAAATAATGACTTTTAAATCAATTTTTCCTGACTGTGCTAGAAATTTGGCGGGAATTAGCAGTATTAGGTGAGGCTTAAGAATTAGCACCGTCACATCTTTCAGTTCAGATGTGGCGCAAACAATGAGCTGCCTCTTAGCTTAACGTCTTCACTTGGTGGAGGAAATATTAAAAGGATTAATTACTGTCCCCAAGACAGCGCATATGCTGCTTGTGCTGTTCTCTGGGTGTGGGGAATCTGCAACACCAGGGCCATACATGGGCAGACCCACGATGCAGAGAGGCTACATGTGTACCCAGCACCTAAAACTAGGCAAGCTGTGCCTTTTTGGACACCCCAAAGTGTCCAAGATGTTGGCCTGGGGCTGGCTGGCATGATGCAGAACGTGCAGGAAATCTCTTCCTTGCAGAAGCATGGTGGGAAGGTGCAAATAATATCCTAGGGCATCTCGAATGGCTTTGTTTCAGCAATGGGATCACATCCTACGCTGCTTCTGTCTCAGGTTTACCTTCCTGCTTTTCCATGAATCCTCCTCAGAATGTGGCCTCTTGGTTGTGTCAGCAGACCCCTCAGCGGAAAGCAGGAGAGTAGTCACAGTGTTCAGTGTTGTCCTGAGTTAATCTGGGAATAGCCCCTGGCTGAATTGCTTCCACGGGATAAATACGGCAGGAGGGAGGCAAGAGCAGTTGTTGTAGCTCAGCTATTGAGGGCTGCAATTAATTGGGCGTGAAGGAAGAGCAATCTCCGTTTTACAGTCAGGGTTCAATGGACCTTCCACTGGGGGCAGTTGCAAACTTCAGTATTCCCATCATGTCTCTGTGGCTGCTTGTTTTTGCCTTTTTTTTTTTTTTTTCTGCCCCATCACCAAGCTAAAGAAACACTGTTGGGGAACTGCTGATGGAGGCGCGCAGCAGCTGACAAGGCTTTATAAACCCTTCCCTGGCTGGTGCTGGCACATTTGGCTGCATCTCTGTGAGCTGTTACCAAGTTCAGCACCTTGTGCTAGTGGCTGACACTGGGCACCTCTAGCAAGAAGATCAGATTTTTTTCACGCAGCTTAATTCCTTCAGCCAGGACAGCTGACACAGTAATACACCAAAACTGCTGCAGGCCCGGGAAAGAGAGGGCCGGGAGGGATGGTGGGAGGAGGCGAGGGCGCGCCATCAGGACTGAAGGCTTGCTAGTCCTCCAGTTAAACTGTACTCAAGGGTTTTTCCTTTTTAGCTCCGAGGGTAGTGGGTGAAAGCAGTTGCCATCACTTGGCTGCTCTTCTGAATCCGCACAGCCGTATTCTAACTAGCCAATGCTTGGGTGGACGATGAGGCTGCAGCCCAACAGGAGCTCGTGGTGGCCATTAGCGGTACCAAGGCCGAGAGATGAAACGGAGCAAAAGGCACTAACTCTTTGTGAATAATGAAAGCTGTTCAAGGAGTTCATGAATTAGGGTGCTGTCCACCTCCGAGATTATAAAAGTCAGAAAAGGCAGCCTCCGAGATGCGATAGGAAAAGGCAGATTTACTTTCCCAAGGCTATGCTGAATTTATTAGGGAAAAAAAATAGTGTTGCTGGACATGTGCGATATATTAAAGGCAGTACTGTCTCTGACAGTGGCGAAATGTTATTTACAACTGCAATGTGGTCACTGAATTTTTACTTTAACATATAGGATTTTGTCCTTAACGGTTGCATAGCCGAATGGAGACTGTGAGAATATTGAGGTCAGAGCTGCCAATTAACCTCCTGATTTCAGAGCCTGATTACTTGATTAATCAAAGACTAGGCCCAGCTGACATGGTGGGGAAAAGGCTGCAGCAGTCTGAGGAAGGATTGAGTTAATCACACGGTGATGAGCTTGGTATGAATGGGAAGGTGGGTGGCCAGGGAAGACACAGTCCTTTCAATCTTGTGAGAAGGGACAGTGTGTGAGCCACAACGCTTTGGGCTTGTAAGCAGGGTTTGGATACTCTACTTGCATCCCCCAGCAATTGGGGAGTTCTCTCCATAGCAGTGTCTTAATGAACAAACCGGTGATATTCCCCGAGACTGGCTTGTTCTCCGTGATAAAGTGAGATGCAGCTATGGGGAGACCCAGAGCAAAGGAAATACTTTGCTCATACATCATCCTCACCAGCCACTCAGGAAGGTGGAGCTGAATTACCCAAAGGTAAGGAGTTGGCCAGTGTTAACTCTCCCTGCGTGTATGCTCTCACTCAGAAGTAAAGGGACATGTAGTTCCCTTTAACCATTAAAGAGTTCCTGTCCTTGCCTGGGGATTAAGCTGAATTGGATTAAGGCCAAAGTACTTCTGAGCAGGGGCATCCTCAGTGGCATTTAAGGCACTTTAACTTAACACATTGAATTATGCTTTTGTCCCACCCAGAGCGCCTAACTAAAGTAGTACAGAGGATAAGAGGAGACTCGCGTTCTCCTGCTGCACTTGCAGCTGCTCTGAGCTGAGTCACAGGCAGGTCCATGGCCTCGTAGTTACCACCCTACATCCTCTCTACTGCGCTTGGGAGGCCAATGGAAAACACTTTTCAGCAAGTACTTGAGAAAAACCTTTCCCAGCACACTTAGGGAACAATAATGCTTTAGCATGGGCTGTATAAGCCCAGCCAAATACCTGCCTTTGCACCTGAGCAGGCACTTTGCACTGAAGTTTCTGCTGTCCTACTGCTGGAACCTGAACGCGCTAAAATAAAGGCATACGGCCTACATGTGCTGCAATTATGTCTCTGATCACAGCACAGACAAAGCTTTAAACCTTAGAATGACAGATATCTGAGTGAGGAAGTCTATTTGTTTGCTGTTAGAAAGAGTCAGGGTTGGTTTTTTTTCTAACCCTGGGCTGCAGTGCTGATAAAACAGGCTGACTTGGGAGACGTCTCTAGTGTATGTTAAAGTAAAGCCAATCTCTGTAATTAATGGGGGGATAAATTGAGGTTTAATTACTCGGAAGGCACCTTGGGTGAAAGATTCATGGTAATTGTTGTGTATCCTCTTGAAGGATTCACGGTACTGGCAGCTCCCTTTGTAGCAATAAAACACAGGGTGAGTGGCAGGCGGTCTCACAGGACCTCTCTTCTAGGGACTAGGCCAGTTAAGGTAGCAAATGCAAAGAGGCAGTAGTACTCTTCAGGCTTTTTATCACAGTAAAAGCCCCTTCCTGAATCTCGAGGGATTCCTAAGCAGCGAGTGTCAATTTGAGATCAAAGCACTTACAGTCAAATCAAGAGTACGTTTGAGGAGATTTCCCTCATAGGCAGCTTCTTCCTGATGCAGCCATACAGAGGCGTATTTCTTACTATTTATCCACTTTCTTGCTTCGTGTAGCATAACACCCTTCTCTTGGGTTCTGTATAGAAAATAAGATGTGTGCATGTGGGGAAATGGATGCTATAGCTTTGAATTTGGTAGTACGTTATTAAAAGGCTGGCTGAGCAAAGGAAAAATCCATCCCACCAAGACAACGTCTGGTTTTGTTATTCCTCAGTTTGTTTATCTTTTGGTTTGCTGGGGCCAGGAGGAGAAGAATCTAGCTTGCCTATTTCCTACTCTGCCTGCTTAATTCACTTTTTAAAAATATAATTAACCTTTTCAATTCACTTAGTTTGGCTAGCAGAGTAAATACGGTGCAGAGGCTCTGTGCTGATGACATATAACAAAATACCCATTTTCTTCCCTACATAGAGCTGAAGAAGCAGGTGGAAAGTGCAGAACTAAAAAACCAGCGTCTGAAAGAAGTTTTCCAGACCAAGATCCAGGAGTTTCGCAAGGTGTGCTACACACTAACAGGGTACCAGATTGACATCACGACTGAGAACCAGTATCGACTAACTTCCATTTACACCGAGCACCAAGGAGACTGCTTGCTTTTTAAGGTAGGTCTGTGCACCCCTCACTGCTCCCGCTTCTTTGGGTTCATGGTTTTCAGCATGCCAGAATGTATTTGCTCCTTCTCAGTGATTAGACTGGAAAATCACTGCCCTCCTGCTATGTGACAGGGTGCTCCTTATGAAGGAAGTAAAGATCCTTTCTCCTTTTGAAAAATTTCCTTAGGGGGTTTGACTTCTGCTTTCCTGCTTGATATATAGAAGTAAGGAGTAAAGAGAGGAGGCTATGTATGTATAATACCTAAGGTATCTGGCCTTGCACTCACCTTTTTATATTATCAGTTACGTATGTCATGGCAATAAAACCTTACATAACCATCAAGGTTTCATCCTTACTTCACTACAAGATATATGTCCTTACTGTCTTTGCCATCGTCTAGCTTGTCTATGTGTCATCATCTTGTCTTTATGTAAATTGGAATCCTTTTTGAGCAGCAACTCAACCTTGTGTGTGTGAAGTGCTGTTTATGTGAACAGCACGGATGAGAGGCAGTAACAGTCTGTCTTCTGTCAGTCTGATACCTTCATTGGTCTAGCTCGGTGGTCTGAAACTGGGTTGTGGCTTGATAAGTGCTGTTTTTCTTCTGCCTTACCTTCGAGCTCGCACAGTTGGGTTGATGCGTTAGAGGGCTCAGATGTGACACTAGTATTGCCAAGCTGTCAAGGTCCATCTTTATGTTGGTTCAAGTGTCGACAGCCCAAGTTTACAGGTCAATGGAAGAACTTTCTCCTTCTTGGTAGGGAACACAACTGGCACTTAATCATACCTGCCTCCCACTGATCTCCCTGGGGTGTCTCATTTAGAGAAACATGAGGGTTTTGGAGGTGTTCAGTACAGGAGGGAACTCTTCAGGAAGGGACTGGAAAAGTTCTGTTTCTGCAGACCTACAGCTGTGTGCCGCATGTGGATTGCGGCAATGTTGTTTCTTTACATAATAGGACAAATATTTTTCTGTTCTGCAACTTTAGAGTCTCAGAAAAAACAAACAAACAAACCAACAAATAAAGCAAGTGAGGGCAAAGTACAAGGCAGTACCTAGTATGCATAGTAAAACTAGGAAAATATGCCCAAAGCAGTTGTATTACTTGGCCTTACGAGGGTTTTGGACTGAGACAAATGGCAGCAAGAAGAGAAAGCTCATTGTCCAGGGAGGAGAATAACTGGGTGCACTGCTTTTAGCTTTGACACCTGCAGGTGCCTGTGTTCACACCTGTAGTGCTGATTGTTCAGTGAGTGAAGCTTCAGCAGACTCCAGGAGATGTCTGTTGGATGCCATGGCCAGACAGTACAACTAGCAGTTCTTTCTGCATCATAGGAGAGACAGCATGCTTGGAGAAAGAGAAGAAAACGTGCGAGAATTGCAGCTGGCCACATGAACAAGAACTGGCTGTCACCTCAGTGGTTTGTAGATCAAATTCTCCTTCATGTCATGGCAACAGAAATAATTTACATGCAGGAAAGTGAATAATGATGAAGTATAGTTTCCTCTCCATAAACACTCTTCCTGTTTTCTGTTCTTCACTCAATTCTTTATTCCCAAGTATGCCCAGAGCATGGAGGCAGGTGTTACCAGGTAGAGCAAATCTCGCAATTCCCACAGCCGAGGGTGGATTGTGTGTTGGTTCATGGAATTCCTCAGCCTCTTTTACCTCACACACTTCTTAGGGTAGGAGAAGGAGATTTGCTGTTTGGAGCCTGAATAACAAAATCTCAGACTCCTTCTCCCTGTTCAGTAAATCGTGGACGGTTCCCACTGTCTGTGGCTTAGAATAGCAGTGGAATATAAACAAATTATTTCCTTGCTGAGTCCAGGCAGCTGGTTCTCATGTATTTACCAAGGCTTGAATCTTGACTACGGCTTCCAGCAAGGTTGTGTGTTTATGCTGTGGAATTGCTGAGCCTTAGCAGACTGTGGGTGTTTGTGTGCATTTCATTAACCCAAAGAAGTCACAAAGCAGGGAATGCTATTTGTATTTATTCCATTCAAGCAATTTATGGAACAGGGTCTATATAATTAAAACAGAGAAGTCCCTTGGCACTTCACAAGCTTCTGTAGTTTGCCTGTAAACTTTAGAGCATATTTCAGTTGCACTGCTGGTGGCTTTTAATTTTTAGTGAGGCTTCAGTAGCAGGGATGCAATAGGAATTACTGTAATGTAACCCCTTCAAAGCTAAATGAAGATGAAAGATGTTCTTGGTTTTCCCAACCGAGGTATGTGGTTACTGTAGTAGAGCTTATCTATATGCTGTGTATGTCCAGCCAATTTGCATTAATTGGAATTACAGCTTCAATGAAAGGGTTAATCACAGTGCCACGCTGTGAATATAAATGACTGTATCTATAAATGAGCGCTGAATTCCAATGAGACCGTGTCAGTATTTACTGGCGATCCCTATCGATGCAACAGATGAGCTCATCAACTTGAAGGATGTTCCAGTGATTTTCAGACCCTCTGTGTGAGTGCGTAGGAAGCAGGGCACATCTCGGACTCCACAGCTCGCTCTCGCTTGTTTGCTCTTTTTTATTCTTTTAATTAAATGCTGTGGAGAGCAGCGTTACAGATTCCTCACCAGGAGTTTAGCTTCTGATTGTTTTTTGTGAGATATAATGCAATTATAGTTACTGGAGCACATGACAGTTTTGTATTCTGTTCCTGTTGCTGGTACATTAGATGTGTTAAGCCATGATACAGACTTAGCGTTCGGCATAGTGCTTAACTGCTGTGTCTAGGCCAGCCTACCCATGAGATATCCAAGAACTGCATTGACTCCCTTTGTAGCAACCCATTGAAGATATCTATTAAACCACACAAACGTTGCTGAGGACCCTCAAAATAGCCAGCGTGGAGCAGTGGCAAACCAGGGTGTCATTGCTTGGCCGTGTGTACATCGTGCTGTTTACCCTTGTCTCTGGTGAGGTCCTGAATGAGGGTAAAGAAATGGGACCTTTAGAAAGGCAGTGACAGTTGTTTCAGGCAAAAGAAGTCCTTGGATAAACAGAAAGACTGGTCAAATTTGAAGAGGAGGTGATTTTGAGACACTTGCACAAATGAACAAACAGTGCAGAGAAATTAGATCATGGGCTTTCTCTTTTTGTGTGCCTGAAGACAAAGTCCCAGCCAAAGCACTGGAAACCAATCACTTTAAAATTAAAAGGCTGGAAATCCTTTTATTTGATAGACCCTGTGGCTTCAAAGTACTGCAGGAGCTCAGTACAATTTCTGAAATGGTAAGAAATCTTTGCAGACAAATAGTAATACCTAGGTTTACATTAAATATTTACATTTACCTTAAGCAGGGACATGCAGAGCTCTCTGAGGTGTAAAGGCCATCTCTTACTACAGAGGTTAGGAAGAAAGTTCCCGTACATGCTCCTTATTTTTTGGGTTGTGTCTGCATATGGTTTTACCGCTGCTGTACCTGACAACATTGAACTCCATCCTCTGGACATACTTGGCAATAAAGACTTGAGTGAAAAAGAGAGAGTGAGGAGAGTGCTCTGAGAGAGCAATCTGTGCTTGATTATTCACTGTGCTTCAGGTGAACTGTTTCCACTGTTGTGGCATGAATGTGGGGCTTCCTGGTCACTTTCTTGATAGGATCATGGACTGAAAAGGCGATGGATCTGATCCTGGCAATGTTTGAAATATTTCTGTTTGAAGTATTGCTCTCCTCACCAGCCCAGCCCTAACCCATGTTGATCATTTTGACAGAATTTAACAAATGAAAACCCAAACACCAGCAGTAGTTCGTTGAAGGGCTTCCCCAAAACGTTAGGCTTTATACCTTGAAAGAGAATACCCGAGATATCAGACAGCAAACAAAACCAAAAGCGTCGTGGTGCTGCTTGACAGTGTTCCCAGCGACAGGGCTGGCACTTCTTGCTGCAAAATAAAACCTTTATTGGTGTCGTATTGGATTGGTAATATGGTAATAAAATCAACAACTATTCTCCAACCTGTGAAATTAACAGCCAGTGCATGCGTGCTGTCTTTGATGCACTGCTCTTTAAGGAGTTAGGTAAAGAGTTGGTTTGCTGATCTGTAAGGGGAACTGTCGCTGTCAAACTTCAAGGCAGCCTGAAAAGTGAATGCTTGCTTCTGATGTGGTTCACGTGGGTGCAGAGGCAGAACACGTTAGGGTGAAAAGGATAAAGACGTTGTGTGCAAGAAGGGTGCAGTGGAAGGACAGACACCACCTTTAACTTCCCGGTCTTCCTTTGCCCCATCGCCGTGTTCCCTGCCCTCCTGTTCCCTCTGTACTGCCGTGGTGTCCAAAGTGTCACAGGGCCGCTGTGCGTGTGAGAAGTAATACTTTAATTCTCTTTTCTTGAGGAAGGAGATGAGGCTGGACTGAATAACGAAGAACTCAGAGACTGTTTTTTGAACACAAAGTGATGCTGACAAACTGCTGGTTGAAAGGGTGAGACAAAACTCGTGTGGTTAAACGTGTGTAGAGAGTTCAGTCTGCTGAGATTCCAGCACAGCCTCGGTAGCAGTTTGGCTGGAGCACTTCAGTGAACGATGTACGTGTTGGAATAAGCTCGATCGTTAACACAGGGATTACTTTTACTCACCTGAGTGCTCTTGTTTCGTCTTGAAGCTGCCAGTACTGCTGGGAGCTCTGAATCAGTCCGCATGCTTGGCATACCTGCAGTTTCAGTTATTTCCTCCTTGAGCCCAGCAGAGAATCTCTGAGAATCCTGTTCTAGCTGTTTGTTTCTTTTTGCCTCTCTATCTTCTCCCCTCGCCTTCTCCTTACCCTTGATGAGTCTTGAGGGGAGAAAGAAATCACCATTTTGATGGAGTGCTATTCTTCCAGCAGCCGTCTCTCGCTCTTGCACACAAAATCAAAAATGACAATGGGGCTCATCGGTGGAGCAGGCTGAGCAGCAAGGGATTGATTAGAGACTGTAGGCCTCTGTTAACTCCTCATTCTTGTTAATTACAAGTTATTTTATTTTTACATATCTTTTTTTCTCAATTTG